TCCCTACAGTTGATTACTCAGGAAAATAAATCTCTTATATCTGGTTGCCTTGAGCTCCAGAACCTTCCATCTCTCTGACCTTCCCTTAGATTTGCATTGTAAGCAGATTGATTCTGATCATTATGCAAATCACTGCCAATAAATTCAAGTTTGTCTCCTAAATTATTTTGAATATGTTCTTTACAACCAAAGAAAAAATTGAAGTTGATATATGACAAAACATCTTAAAAATACAAAAAAAAAAAAAAAAAAAAAACCCAACACACTAACTCTTTAGCACTGTCCAATCTGAGTTCCACCACCAAAGCGTCCTGTAAGGCAGTGGGACCAAATTTTAGCAAACCTCTCAGAATTTTTAACTTTTAAACAACATCCCATATTAAGGATGCTTTTCTGGAAACAGATGTCTAATTAATACTTTATTCTTTTTCATACCTTTCAAGGATGATCTACTTTTACAACTGTTCTCTCATTCATTTTGCTTCTTATTTTCAACAGAAAGGCAGCATGATGATTCATATCGAAATATTTTTTCTTTTTAGGGTAAAACATCACCTATCTTAAGAAAATATTTTATTATTATATTTTTAAAAACTTAACATTTTAGAAAGTCTTTAATACTTATCTGTACACTCATTGATGGCAAGCAATTGGTCTTGCCCAGGATTAACCAATAGACATAAAATGAGAATCACATAGAGAAATTTTAAATTTCCCAATGGTCACATGTTTTGGAAGTAAAAAGAGATAGGTACAATGAATATAGATGATAATTTTTTTTCATCCCAGTATATCTACAATAATATTTCAACATGTAATCAAAATAAAATTATTGAGATATTTACATTTTTATATATATTAAGTCCTTAAAATCAGTGTGTGTTTTAACACTTAGAGCACTTCTCAAATCAGATGCAAATTTCCGTTAGAAATATTTGGTTCATATATAGATCTTATAAATTTTAGAGTTGAAAAAGTAGATTCAAATACCCAAGTTCCTCAAACATAAAGTTTCTGATTAATGGCTTCAGTATAATTTTTTAATTAACTAAAATTACATGCAATTAAAATTCAGTTCCTCTATTGCACTACCCACATTTCAAGTGCATGTTTCATGTGGCTAATCTATACTTTCTTTTTGTTTGTTTGTTTAACTTTGTCTTGGGTACTGGGAATTGCACCCGGCAACACTTTACCACTGAACTATATCCCCAGCCCTTTTTATTTTGAGACAGGATCTCACTAAGTTGCTTAGGGCCTCACTAGATTTTTGAGGCTGGCCTTGAATTTGAGATGCCCCTGCTTCAGCCTCCTGAGATTACAGTCATGCAACACCTGGCTACAAATACTCTAGACCTTACAAATCCAGCTGAACTCTCTAGGCACATGTGTTCAACGATGGTGAGGAGAGGTGCTCAAACATTCATCAGATCCCTCTCAAGGTATTAGCAGTTTAAACACTTCTCAATCATTTTTATTATTGAAAAATACTAGGATTTCTACTTGTATCTTCGGGTATTGCTATGGTTTGAAATTTGTTCCTTAAAGTTTGTGTTGGAAACTTTATCCCTACTTGTACTAATAGCATGTGGAAGTGAGACCTTTGAGAGATAGGGATTATATGTAGGGACTATACATTCATAACCAGATTAATGGTCGATACATTTATGTGAACAGATATGTAACAATTGATCTGTGTAATTTTTTTTTCCATTTTTCTTTTGGTCATTATGATGATTTCTCCTTCATTCTTAAAAGTTTGAAGATATTTATTTATTACAGTTGTTTTAATGACCACATGAAGTATATTTATAAAAGCTGCTTTAACATTCTCTCCTTCTACCATGGTCCCCAGGATGGCATTAGTGGCTTTATAAGAAGAGAGGCCTGAGCTAGTTACCTGCTGTCTGGCCATGTGATGTCCCCAGCCATGCAATGATGCAGCAAGAAGGCCCTCACGAGATGAGGAGATGCCGCTGTCATGCTGTGGACTTCCCAGCCTCCAGAGCCATTACTCAGATGAACTTTTTCATAAATTACCCAGTCTCAGATTTTCTTGTTTTAGTAGCAGGAAACAGATTAAGACTGGTATGTTAACCCTCATTAAACTGTATCTTTAGGGCTGGGGGTGTAGCTCAGTGGTAGAGCGCTTGCCTAGCATGCGTGAGGTTTGATTTTCAGCACCACATATAAGTGAATAAATAAAAAAGAAAGGTCCATCAACAATATATATACTGTAGCTTTATAGATTTCATCAAATTCAGAAATTTTAAGGGTCCTTCTTTCTTCAAAGGTTTTTTTTTTCTTTTTCTGGCCTATATCCTCCTCTAACTGCCCCCTTAAACTACCCACCACTCTAAAACCACCATTCCAGGATTCTAGTTACTGCATGATCGTCGGCTTAATATGGTCCCATAGCTCACTTTTGCTTTGTTCTTTTCTTTTTTTTCTATCTTTTTTTTTTACTATTTTATTTAGTGTAGTTTCTATTTCTATCTTCAAGTACACATTTTTTTCTTCAGTGTTTAATTTGCTATTAATACCATCCATCGTATTCTATATTTTTCTTTTCAGATCATGCACTTTTTCTTTCTCCTCCCCCCACAATAGATAGAAATAGCTTGATCTATGCCTATTTTTTTTTCTCTTTTTCTTTTGGTTGTTATGAGGATTTCCTCTCCTGTCTTAAAATCATGGAGTACATTTCTTAGTTGGTTTAGTGAAGACAAGGAGTATATTTATAAGAGCTGCTTTCAGGTTCTCCCCTTCTATCATCTATGTCATTTCTGGATCTGTTCCTACTGTTTGACTTTTCTCTTTGTTATAGATTGTACATCCCTGCTGGGGCCTGCCATAACAAAATATCATAGCCTAGGAGCTGAAACACCGCATAAATTCATTTCTCACGGTTCTAGAGGCAAAGAAGTCCAAGTCAAGGCACCAGCAGATAGGGTATCCGATGAGAGCTCACTCTGGTTCAGAGTCGGCACCTTTCACTGTGTCCTCTGTGGACTGAAGAAGTTATAAACAAGCTCCTTGGGCCCATTTTATAAGGGCACTAATCCCATCCTGAGAGTTCTGCCCTCATGAATTCATCACCTCCCCAAGACCCTGCCTCCTACTACCCTCACCCAAGGGTTAGAACTGCAATGGGTGTATTCTGGGGAGATGCAAACATTCAGGCCATTGCTGCTGCCTGCCTGCCTGCCAGGGCACGCTTACCCTCTTGTGTGTGCACTCACTCTCTCACTCTCTCCCCTCTCTCCATAGCGACTTCCTTTCCAGAATGTTTCTCCACAAATTTCCTAAGCTCAGCAGGACCACCAGGTTGTTTGGGGTCCCTTTCCCCATAGAGGAATGATCCAGGGCCATGGAAGTGCTTATGTGATTGGTTTCCTTTCTGTGGGAATCTCTCTCTAGTGCTATCTGTTGTCCAATGTCTGCAAACTGTCAGTTTGCTAGTGTTTGAGGAGAAAAGGCAAATCTAGCTTATGTTATTCTATCATGGTCTAAAGGATATAAAAATTTAATTGCCATTCATTTAATAAATGTTGATTCAGTGCCTACTGTATATTAGAAACTGTGCAAAGATCTGGAGATTGACTGTTGAACTAAAAAAAATATACAGTCCCTGCCCTCGTGGTTACAACAGCCCAACAGGGGAAAAAAATAACTAAAAATTATTCAAGTAAATATGTATGAGAGGGAGCAGAGTGCTATAAAAGTATATAATGGGAACACCTGATTTAGTTTGGGAAATCAAGAAACAAAGGACATTTTAACTAAGATTTAAGGAATAAGGGAGATTTAGTGTCACTATTCTACAGAGTAGGAATATTACCGAAGAGAGCAGCATATGCAAAAGGCCTGTGGCAGAATGGAAACCATTAGAGATCATCCAGCCCAGCCCTTAGATTTCCCAATGAAGAAACAAGGGCTCAGAGAATTTATGACATGTGCCATTTGCAGAAGAGGGACTAGGAGTCCTACCTTCACATCTAGTGTTCTTCCCATTCCACGATATTGCTAAATAAATGTAGAGAATATCAGATCACATTATACAATGATTTTTGTCATTTTATGGTTTATGACATTTATGAGTAATACATAATCTTATAATTTATCTTCATTTAAAAACAATTATGGCCAAAATTTTATTCAGGACATACTTTGAATTGTCAATATTTTTATATAGTTACAAAGTTTGTAAAAAAAAAAAAAAAGTGCAAGAGAGCACAAAACAGAAAAGAATGAACACTCACATTTAGCACACAGAAGCCACAACAGCATCATAATGGCCTGGGAGTGTTAACGCAGCTCCCTAAGTGGCTAAATTACACCCCAGAGGTTCTCGCTCAGCAGTGTAAGCCTTTAGTGCTTTCAGACATTTTGGGAAATGCATCCATTGCCCCATTCCAAGCTTAATTGGCATAATAAATGTCAATTAAAGCTCCTTTAAGATTTTAAACTGCAAGACTCAAGTGCAACTCTGTATGTATAGACTCATACGGAGACTTCCCCACCAGAAGTCTTTCCTAAAAGAGACTCCGAATATTTAGGTTTACCCTGGGCGACGTGGATAGACAACACACAACCTTGCATTCACATAGGAAAAGACGTTTCCCCAGCTATCCTAAACGTGTCCTTCATACATGGCTTGTAAACTATTACATATCATACATGTCAGTGGAATTCAGCTTTCAACAAATAGAGAGAGAACATCAACTCAAGGACGGGAAATACAGGAGCCAACAGAGGAGAGAGACGTGTGTCCCCCACCATCAACATGGAGGGATCCTTTCAGAAGCTACCAGGAGGTCCTTCTCCCTCCTTCATTCTGTGTCTACACAAAACTCCTTTCCTAACATTTACTTAAAAGGCAATTATTCACTCATCCAGTGTAAATATAAAGCAGGGTCTTTGTTAACTTCTGAACTTGACAAAAATATTTTTTATGTCTCATGCATAGTTCATCGATTTCGGTTTCAGGAAATTCCACATTAGATTAAGTAGCCCAAGCTGCCAACTGCTTGATACCATCGTCTTCGTCTTCTACCCTCCTGGAAGAGGCTGGAACACAAAAAGTGATTTAAAAAAATTAGTCATTGGCATCACTCCCACTTTCAGCCTACAAAAAGGTATGAATTACACATAAAATGTGTTTATTTATGAAATCAAATGTAAATGAGTACTAAAGGAAGGGACCTGGCTATTATGTTTAGGAAACTGTGAGAACACGGGTAGTGGAGATGGGTAAGAGACCTGCTCGAGATCGGTGTGCAAAGGAGGATGCGGCTGGCCTTCTATCTGGCTGTGCTGGGAGAGAAGAGGAAGGCACATTGGGAAGCCGGATATTTGTCATCTTCTTGTTTAATTCCTCCTGCTCCAGTTCTTCAAGTTCTGCCATCAACTCATCCTGAACGTAGGAGAAAGGAAGAATTACCGAGTTAACGTTTCAAGAAGTGGGTTTCCTTAAACACAATAACAAGAACATCTGCTACCCGATTGATATGTGAGAACCCAGTGAAATGGAATATTTATTTTAAAACTAAGTCTTTTTTGCAACACTGAGCAATGATTAGAAAATGAATATTTTGGGTTGTGCAAATTTGTTGTAGTTAATCTTATAATACTTCAGTAAACAGCCATTCAAGTAATTTGTGCTAGCTGAATATATAATCTCAGTTTCTGGGAAATTTACACCTTGCCTGTCATTTTTTCAATATGCTCTCTTCTTTTCTCCTGTTGAGAAGCGATGAAACTTTAATTGGAAGAAATAAATATTTTTATTTGGGCTAATGCTATTGAAAATAGAACAGTAAGTATGGCAAAAACCATAATGCAATAAAAATAAAAAGAATCAGAGATACTGTGGTACCTTTATCAAATCATCAAAGTTAACATAAATCATGTGTGTGCTTGGGTTAATACAACTTCAGTTCAAAGACAGGTATAATGTATTTCTTTAACAATGGTCCAAGAGTGTCTGGTTTAATCTTAAACTATTCCCTGAACAAAAGCTGTAGAGAGGCAACATTAGTTTGAGATCTTATGGATGTACGTCACCTTGTACCAGGTCTGAGATAACCTGAAGTATTTCACATCTACCTGCCTCCATAAATCTCAGATGGAGATCAGCTCCCCTCAGGAAAAAGTCAAGAGTCAAAATTAAATTTACCATCACTGAATTTTTTAGGTTATCACAATTAGAAATGACCTGGGACACCCTTATAATCAACCAGGTAGATTCTTTATTCATTCATTCACTCTTGATTCCACAAATTTAGTTTGAACTCAGTACTAGAGATGCAAAATTGAATCCACACTCCCCACATTCAAGGAGTGCATGCTTAAATTTGGGAGAAAGCCATGTAAACAAATATGTTAAAGTAAGGTTAATAACACCATGGAGCAAGAGAGGAGATACTTAAGCCAAGTACTCATTGATCAAATTCATGAGTATCAGATTTGCAGAAAGTTGACCTCTATTAAACGGATTGCAATTTAAAAATAAAATAAGAAGGTGTATACCATCAGGTCATGTGAAACAGCATGATGAGTGTGGTTAAGTGCTTTACACTTCTCCTCAGTTTATATAAATAAAATGATAATAGAATGAATAGTCTGATGCCTAGTTCTGCTCAAAAAACAAACATAGTAACTGTGGTAATGGCAGAATGAGCTGCTTTATGTTGAATGCATGCCCAGAATGCCATGGGTACTTGACAATTACCAACAGCACCAGAAAGATATTGATGTTTTCTTCAGGAAATATGATGGACACAGTAGCTATCTCCTCATCATTTTCAGCCTTTCAGTTCCAAACTCTTATCTGATCATTTATGAAAAGATTTTTAGAATTTAGTAAACTTTGGAGATAATCCAGTGACCAAGAGTTTCCATTCTATCTATGAGAAAACTACAGGTGAGAAAAGTAAAGGGACTTAAGATGTCCTCATAAGCCCAAGGCCCTTTCCACCATGCCATAATGCATGCATTAGATGCTTGTTAGTCAACACCAGGGTTGGCAAATATTTCCTATAAAGGGTCAGAGAGCAATGTTTTAGGTGTTGCAGGCCACATATCTTTCCATCACATAGTCTTCTTTGTAGTTGTTTTCTACAATACTACAAAACTGAAAAACCTTCTTGGCTCTAGGCAAGACAAAAACAAGCAAAGGGAATGATTTGGTCTTCAAGCCATATTTTGCCAACCCCTGATCTATGCCATTTTTTAAACTCGGTTATCACTCAATTCTCACTTTCTAGGATTCCATGGAGCCACATTGTACTTGTTAGATGTAACATCGTTTTTAGTATCACATAGAAGGAAGTTGGACTCTTTGCTATGCTACTCTAGTATGTGGACATGTTTTTAAACATGCCCTAGTCCTATTTGTGTATGCTTTGAGTAGCGCAGCTGAAATTCACAGTGCAAACACCACCAACATAATTACCTCCTCTCTGTATTATTAGACTGATTAATCTAAACAGAATGTATGTGTTAATAATGCCACCCCACATTATGTTGTTTCATAATCTGACTAATAAACAGAAGCAGCCAGACCTCTAATTTAACATCTACAAAGCATGATGCCTGCATTTTGCAAAGCAGCACAGTCTGCTTTGTTTGCCCAGATGTGTGAGCACTCGATCCCTCCTAATGGGGCTATTCAGACTCCAACCATTAAAAGTCAGTAACTTTACATAATCACATGCCGCTTTTCCTTAATAGCTGAAAACTTAATTAGGAGTCTGTTTGCCAAACTAGATTAATCTTTCCTTTAAATCAGAGCTACTAACTCTTAATTTCCCCCTTAAAAGAAGTACATTTTCAACAAATATCATTTATTCTCTAAGGAACAAAAGAATCTACCCACTACATACCGCTAGGCTGCTACCCTCTTGTGGTATAGCAGCCACAAACCACATTACCATTGTGTTACCTACCTCATCAAAGCCATCGTTAAATCCAACCCGTTGAGAAAATGCTTCTGAGATTTCTTGGGCAATGTCCTGTTGTTCTGTGATGTCTTGCATCAAGTCATCTATTTTGTTCAGATCCCTAGCAAATAATAATTTGTTGAAATATTTTAGGATTTTACCTTAAAATTATAAATTTAGGCATAATCCCATATGAAAAATTAGTGGATTTTTTAAAATTTGAGATGGAATCTTGCTGTGTTGCCCAGACGGATCTCAAACTCCTGAGCTGAAGTGATCCTCCTGCCTCAGCCTCCTAAGTAATTGGGATTATAAGTATATACCACCAAACCCCACCACAATGAGTCAATTTAATATAAACTTTGTGTGTGTGTGTGGTGCTAGGGATCTAATCCGGGGCCTTGTGCATGCAAGGCAAGTACTCTACCAACTGAGCTATATCCCAAGCCCATAATATAAACTCTTAATTATTTCAGTAACATAACAAAAATTCCCACTGATATAAAGTTGATAAATTTGCATTTCAAAAAACTTAACAATCCTTTATATGCACCTATATTTTAAATATTAAGTAAATATCCAATACCTTTAGGAGTTACTATAAATCAAATTATTTTATAACAGAAATTATGGGGCCATTCTGAAATTTTGTCTAAAAGGGCATTTGTAAAAATTTAGATATATACTACCATATATTACTTCTGTAGGAGATATACCATGAACCACCAGGGACCACCAAGATGGAGATATGTATGGCAGCTCTCAATAGCCACTTTCTGAAAGCAGCATTTGTAGAAGCTGAACTCTGAGACTAGAGATCTAATTTCTATAATACCCCAGATCCTACTGCCCTGAGGGTTTTCCCATAGTGTGATGCCCCAGGAGATTATTAAAGGGAAAAGGATTTGGCCTATGGGTCCCCCAGAAGAATCAGCAACTACAGCAAAGGAATCCATGTGGCCATGGGCCTAGGTGAAGAAGGCTTAAAGGCACTTTCTAGCACCAGAGCCCCATTGGCCGCTAACCTAACAGCGTAAGCTGTTGGTGTCCCCAGGGTCTAAGATGTCTCTCTAATACTCTGTCTCCATATCATTCCTTCAGCTCCAAAACTAGGCCAAGCTGATTGGATACAAGGTTACTTAATAATGAGAGACACTGTCTTGTGTCTCTCATTATTAAGTAACCTAAACACTGAAAGTTTGTGTCCCAGTAGAATCACTCTTTTTGAGTTTATCAGATTCTCTCTATATGCTATGACCACAGAGTACTCTGACATATTTTCATGCAGTAATCAAAAAGAATACTTTTATCACTCTCCTACACCCTTTATCTCCAATCCTTACTATTATATCTATAATGAATATATTTATTAAAAGGAGAATGAGAAATGTGTTGCTAAAGTTTGGGGCTGGGTGTGAAATTTTCTCAAAAGGAACACAATGGTGTGATGCTGCTGAGCTACCTGGGGAGAGACTAATTTGTACATTTCAGCACCCAGCTTACAGCAACCATAGAGAATTTAGAGTCTGATAACAAATCTAATGACCTCTCTAAAGCTGCCAAAATGGTGGCTGATTGTTAATGGACCACAAAGGCAAGAAAATGTTCACAAGGCTGTCTTCACTGCCCCAGCCTCTGCCTTCTCCACTCTTTCTATCCTTGCAAATCTGTCTACATCCCTCAGGCATTCATTGCTCTTATGCATCTTTGACCAAGATTCCACTGTCATGACCAACACCAGGAAAGGATCAGGTCACTGGCATTTACTTCCCAATGTGGGTGTAAACCAAACTGCCTCCAGCCCCACTACCACTATGAATGATTATTGAGTGCTTACTCTGAAAACTGTGTTAAGTGCATTTCATCTAGTATCTCACTGAAATTTCCAATTTACAGATAAGGAAACTGAATCAGAGAGATAGAAAGCAATCTGCCCAAGGGATTGTCCCTGGGCAGTAGGATGATAAGCCAGCAAATTTGAGCCCCAAAGTATAAAATTTCATTCCCATAACTTGTTACTCTCTCTATATTCTATATCTATTCTATGAAATTCTCAAACCTTGGGTGGTATCAGAATCACTTGGGAAGTTGGTTAAACACAAACAAACAAATAAAAAATCCTATCCTACTTCCAGGAACCTGGAATCTGTTCCCTTTAACAGCTCAGATTCCCACCCAAGTTGGACAACCACTATTCCTCAGTTCTAATGTCTGCACAGATGTTGACATTGAAAGGTTTTTTTAAAATTACAGAATTAAGGTATGTACAGCGATGGAATTTCAAGCAATCATAGAGAACTAAGAAACATGAAGGATAAAAATGTACACCCTTCTTTTTTTCATGGCTGGTTGGTTTGTCCTCGCCTTTTTTTGTCATGGCAACCTCTGATTTACCTCTGAGAAAGCATTCCATTCAATATGCCAAAGAGCCTCAAATGAGTAAAGAGATTCCTGCTAAAATCATCATATAATTTCAAGGGCTTTTCCCAACACTGAGGGCATTTATGATTCAGAGGGAGAACAAAGTCACGCACATGTTTTCATGAACAGCTTTCATTGCCTTTGCCGCAAAGCCCATGTTCCTCAACACCTCTGTGTTGGTGTGGGAGTTTTCCAAAGCTTCTCTCTGGAACTCAATGGTGGAAAGGGTGCCGTCGATCTGAGTGAGCTGCTTTTCAAACCTCTTCTTTCTTTTTAGCGCCTGCAATGCAGCTAGACAAGGGAGAGACCACCTTTATAAGGGAAGAGACACTACTCAAGGCATTTACACACACCACCCACAGACTCAGAACTGATGATACCTAAGACAAAGCTCACACCAAACACTCCTGAGACACTAAAGGGTGACATCTCTCAAACACTGCGTTATGCTTTCTTCCAAAGATCTGGAAGGTATAACAGAGGTTGCAAAGTCAATTATAATATTCCATGAAATATAACACAGAAAAAAAATTCTGTCGATATTGGATTTTTCTAAAAAGATAAAAATATGAGTAAAACTATGCAAAACAAAAAAAGTCTTTAGAGGAGCAAAGGACCTGAATGGTTGTCAATTCTAGTCCTGCTTCCTTAAAGGCGAGTTTATGGAGACGCAGATTAATTAAGTGACTTGCTTAAAGCTAGACCATTAATGGGTGGCAGCTGGAACCAGATCCTGGAGTGTGGACCTACATGTCTTGATTTGAAATGATTAAGAAATGGCCATTAAGGTTACATCTAACCAAGTGTCCGTGAAATCAGTGCAGTTAGAGTCATCCTCAAGGAGTACATGGCATATGGGTGTCATCAAAGAACATTGCCTTCAGAGAAACAATATCCAAATAACCTTCTTATTCACCCCTTAGCAAGATAATCTTACCTGTATCAATTTGAAACCCATATGCCATGTACTAAGAGTCCTTTGACTTTAGCATTTTGAAAGGCAACATTATCAGGCCCTAAAATGCTCATTTTTTATATTTATTTTTTAGTTGTAATTGGACACAATACCTTTATTTCACTTGTTTATTTTTATGTGGTGCTGAGGATTGAACCCAGGGTCTCATGCCTGCAAGGCGAGTGCTCTTCTGCTGAGCCCCCTAAAATGTTCATTTTTGATAAAGCATTTGGGGGAAGTGCAAGAAACGAATAAAAGAAGAATGTTAGCATAAAGATAATTAAATGGATTTGACAAAAGAACTCAAATAGTTTGTGGATCTGGACAGAAGCAGATGAGTTATTACAAGATACTTCTGGGAGAAAACTCCTTCTGTTTGCAGGAATTGCTTTTTGTTAACTCCAACAAAATTTACTTATTCCATTGTTTTTTCACTGGTACACAGACTCATAGGCATTGTATTTTCTTAATAGATTTTATTAGTCATCCGTGAAGCTCTTTTCAACCCTCTCTGGCTACTTGAGGATCAGCCACCATCATGAATGACACATTCATATCCAGACCAGGAAGTCCATGACCAACTGACCACTTCAGAGGGAACAAATGGTTACTGATTTCCTTCACCTTGAGAAGACAACAGTACATAAAACAGATTCTCAGGAAAATCTAGTCAAAATGTACAAGACCACCCAGACATCATCTTTGTTTTTGGATTTAGAACCCATTTTGGTGATGGCTTTGGCATGACTTATAATTCCTTGGGTTATGCAAAGAAAAGTGAATACAAATATAGGCTTGCAAGACTTGACATACACAAGAAGACAAAGACCTCAAGAAAACAGTGAAAGGAACAGAAGAATAGAACAAAGGGAGTCAGGGGAACTGCAAAGGCCAGTGTTAGAGCCAGCAAAATGCAGAGTAAAGACTCTACCATGACTCTCTGTGGCAATTGTGCCAGTTTTTCACAAGAGGGTTAATAAACTGCAAGGACTTTGAAAAAATCAGCACAAAATATCATCCTATGTCCCACTTATATTTTTTTCCTTAAATTCCATCTTGTCTTATAATAACATTTTGGCCTTCTTTTGGTTACAGTTTGCTTTTAATAAACTTTTTCATGGACCTCTATTTCAAAATTTTATTTGCCCTTTTTTAGAATGCCCATTAAAAATAGCATATACTCGAATGTTTTTATGGTTTATGTATGAGGAATCCCTCAAAAGCTCTCCTCAGAGACAATGCAAGAAAGCATAGAGGTGAAATGATTAGATAACGAGAGAGGTTTAACCTAATCAGTGCATTAATCCCTTGATGGGGATTAACTAGGTAGTAACTGTAAGCATGCAGGGTGTGGTTGGAGGAGGAGGGTCACTGGGGGCATGACTTTGGGTTTATATTTTGTCCATGGTGAGGGGAGTTCTCTCACTCTCTCTGCTTCCTGGTGGCCATGTCCTGCACCACAACTGTCCACCTTGATATTTTGCCCACCTCAGGCACAGAGCAATGGAATTGGTGGTACTTGAACTAAGACCTCTGAAATTGTGAATCCCAAATGAACTTCTCCTCTTCTAAAATTTTTATTGTTGGGTCTTCTGGTCTTCTTTTTTTCAGGGGCATGGTACTGGGGAGTGAGCCCAGGAGTACCTAACCTCTGAGTTATATCCCCAGCCCTTTCTATATTTTATTTTGAGACAAGATTTTGCTAAGTTGCTTAGGGCCTCAATAAGTTGCTGAGGCTGTCTTTAAATGTGATCCTCTTGTCTCAGCCTCAGGAGCCACTAGGATTACAGACATGTTCCACTGCATGTAGCCATAGCCTCATTTATTACAATAATTGATTTTACAAAATATGGTCTTTTTACTGTAAACTTTGAGTTTTCTGATTGCTGTACATTTTGTCTTCATGGCTTTCTTTTCTTTATGTAGATTAGTCAAGTATTTTTGTTCATTTTTTTCACTATAGTTTGTGCATATACTAAATTTATTCTCCTAACAAACACACTTGTATTTAAAATATACACATATAATTAAATAATTTTGTAACCCTATTGAAAATTAATCAGTCTATAATTTACTATTCCCAAACAACATTCCCTTCCCACCTCAGACCCCACATGTCTAAATAATCTGCAATTTTTTTTTTTTAGTTCGAGATGACTAACAAATTTCTTGCTATTCTTTCAACTTTTTAAGGGACTCTTTCTCAATAATAAGCTTCATATGCACAATTTCACTAGTTATTTACCCTAATCTGTATGTTTAGTGGCTTATTTTCTTACTATTGCTTCTTATATTCTACATTGTTCTCTTTGATGGCTTTTTAAATTTTACTGAAGTGAATCTTTGTTTTTCAGCAAAGTATTTTTTAGCATATAGATAAAATACTGTAGATATACTTATATAAATGTGCATAGATGTAAACTCTGAATACCTATAGGTCTGAAAACATCTTTATTTTGTTTCAAACTTGCAATAATAATTTAGACTTTTCCAGAATTCTAGATGCCAAATATTTTAAAATTTTAAGACTCTATTCTGCTATTTTGCAGTAGTCAACATCTCAAAAGTTTGATTAAAAATATTCTAATTTCTTTGTAAATGCTTTGCCTTTTTGTTTATCCTCTGAAAGTATTTGAGATTCTATTTTTTTATATTAAAGTCATGAAATCTCCCTAGGATAATTCTAGGCATGTGCCTTTTATCTTTTGTTTTTTTCCAAATAAGCATTTTTATTATGAAGAATTAGAATAAAAATTTCTTTTAGCTTGAGAAAAAAAGTATTCCATTATTTCTTTTATTTCTTCTCTCTTCTCCAATATTTCTGTCACTCTCTTCTGAAATCCCCACTTATTTTTTAATTATCTCTACCATCACCTGTTCCCACATAAACATTCTGTTTTCTCTCTTTTGAAACCTCTGTGAGATGGATACCAGCTTCTTTGGCTCTATCTTCTAACCTATTAGTTTGTCTCTCCATCTTTTTGATCTATATCCAGGGAGAATGTCTTGACTTTATTTTCCTGATTACTAGTAAATCTTCACCTGTATTCATTTTACCTTTTTCTTGCCCTTTAATTGGTTTTTAAATGATGTTTTTAATTTCTAACTTCTTGTTTTCTACCTGCAGATTTTGATGGCAGCATTCTCTTGTCTCAAAGATGCAATAGCCTCTTGAACTCTGAAGATTCAATACAAGGTGTTTATTTCCACCTTTCATTTCTGAAACTCTCTCTCTTCTCTTGGGTTCCATTGTCTGCTTTGCTTACCTTGATGCTTTTGCATAACTGCCCTTCCTCAAAATGCTTCTGATTGTCTCTTGTAGGTTCATATTTATAAATGAAAGGCTAGAATGGTTCGTGTAAGTTGCTGTGTGTCTTGTAGTTACCGAAGCCTCTCCTGGAAGGAGAAGGCTGCCCACGGCTCTGTGGAACAAGTGGGAATGCCAGCAGGCTTCCTTCCACAGGAGGGAGCAAGCACACAGCTGGGGACTCCTTTGCCCAAGAAAGGCTTTGTTTGATTGTGGAATATTTCTCCCTCCTGGCAGTGGTGACTTTCCTTCCCACCCTCCCTACCCACTGTGGCTCTGCTGTTTTCCTCTTTGGGTGTGGTATCACAATTAAGCTTTTATTGAACAGCATTTACACTTTAATTATAGAACAGCTCCTATTTGCTTAATCTGTCCTTTAGGAAAGAACTAAAACATTTTTTTCTTAAGTCAATTGGCTCAACGACCTTCTTACAAGATCACACTTAAGAGAGCCTTACCACATTAATGACCAATCTGGAGGAGGGTTTTCTCCAATGCACAGGGAGAATGGCCAGCTGACCCCCTGGGCTACCCCCTCTGTCTGTGGATCCACAGCTGCTGCTGAATCTACCACACTGTATTGTAATTATTTGTAAAATCTATTCTGTTCCATCTCTCCTGTGCCTAATTATAAACATTTTGATGAAAGAGCATCTTACGTCTCTGTTTCTCCAGCAACTTGTCCAGTTCCTACGACTGGGTCAATAAAATACATAAAAAAAGTAACATTTACTGAATAACTTTCTATATGCCAAACTGGTGCTAAGTGCTTTGTGTGCATGATACAATTTATGCCACTTAACACACACACACACACACAAAAAAAAAAAACACACACAAGAGTACATACAACAATAAGCCATTTTAAAGATGATGGAATAAATTAATATTAAATGAATAAATTTCATGATTTTTGTGCCCCACAGTACAATAACAGCATGGTCCAGTGAAAAGAGTATGGAGTGTGGACCTTCTTGCCCAATTTAACAGATGTGTCGCTTTGCTTCTTTGAGCTTTAGTTTGTTGTTC